AATTCAAATTTATATAATAAAAACTATATTATAAATCAATAAAATAAAATAAAATTTCAACTAAATTAATAAAATAAAATTAAAATTGAATAAAATTTAATATATAAAATAAAATGAAAATTATATATTAAAAAAATAATATAATAAAATAAAATCATAATTGAATTAAAATTTATTTAATAAAATAAAACAATAAAATTATAACTAAAATAAAACTAGTTAAATATAAACGAAAGAATAAAAACCTCCATATCATTCTCTCAGTCTCTGTCTCTCATAATTGAACCCTAATCTCTCAAACACAAAGTTGAGCTCTAGAAGCCATCACTTGAAGTTGTAACTCGAAGCCGACTTCTTCGTTGCTTGGATTATCGCGGTTGTCCAGAAGCCGTCATCGTTATCCAGAAGCCATCTTCGTTATCTCTCTCTTCATCACTTGGATTATTGCAGTTGCAACTCGAAGGTTTCATTGTTGGTAACACGTTGAGGATTGATAATCTGAAGCCTCTTCATTCATTAACTAGCTCTCAGGTTTGTGAAATTTCTTTTTTTCTTCGATAATCACCATTTCTTCTTCAGGTATATGCTCCATTTAATTTTGTTTCATTCCTATTTGTTCAAGTCGAACTACGAGTATCATGCTGCTAATGTATTCCAATTAGTATTAATATATAACATAATATGAGATTTAAGAAATTATTGCTTGTTCGAGTCAAACCGTGAGTATCATGTTGTTTTTTCTCCTGTCTATTTTTTCTCACTATCTATCGTTTTCTATAAAATACATTTGCAACCTCATGAACTTGTTGTGGTTATATTCTAGTCGTGCTACTAAGGAACATATACAAATCAAATAGGCTATGCAATGGCACAAGGTTGCTTATAAATAAACTCTGTCAAAACATTATTGGTGCCACTGTCATCACAGAAAAAAATATTGGTGACAAAATTTATAAACCAAGGATGAATTTAATTCCTTCTGATCTGAGCTTTCCATTTAAGTTTCAGAGGCGGCAATTTCCAATTGCCTTGTGATTTGTAATGACCATAAATAAGAGCCAAGGCCAATTACTTTCACAAGTCGGTTTGTATTTACAATGCCCAATATTCAATGGATAAGTTCAAGACATCACCTTCAACCAAACACCTTGCTTCTGCAAATTTATACCAACCTTTGCAAATGTACGTACAAAGTTGCCAATAGCGGGCGCTCCAGCCGCTATAGCGGTGCACCGTAGCGGTGCGGCACCCCCCCGCGCGCTATTTAGGGTGCGGTGGCGGAGATGAAAAAGCGGTCGCTTCAGCCGCTTTCCCGGGTAGCGGGTAGCGGGAAGTTCCCGGGCGGAGCGACTCCGGTTCTCTTTTTTTTTTTAAACAATTTTCTGGGCCAAATTACTTAAATGCCTCTGTTTTAAAGCAATTTTTGTTTTCTTTCTCCCTCATTCGCTGTGTTTTTTTTTCGTGCCCTAATTCCTCAACTCTCCTTCTACTATTCTGCCGCCATCTCCCTACAACTCTCCTTCTTCGGTTCTTCCTCCATCTCCTTCTGCCATCTCAGGTAATTTCTTCTAATTCTTCAACTTATTCTACTTCAACTTATTCTACTTATTTTCTTTCTACTTCTTTTCTTTCTATTGTTTCTTTCTACTTTCTACTTCTTCTATTTTGTTTTGTTGTAAACACCGTTTATTTGTATTTTGAAGAAGTTGAAGATGAAGAATTGGAGGAATATGAAGAAGATGAGGAATTGGAGGAATATTTTGATGATGCTACATGATTTCTATGTTTGCTTGAATTTTCATATGATAGTACTAAGTTTGAATTTGAACCTTTATGTTTTGAATCTTGATTAAGCGTTGTTCTTTGTTTGATATTAGATTTTATAAATATTTTATGAGTGTTGTGAAATCAGTTTAGTATTACATGACATATGTTTTATAAATTATTATATAATTATTAGTATACAAAAAGTTATCCCGCTATTCCCACTTTTCCCATTCCCGGGGATCGGCCGCTCCGCTCCGCTATCCGGGATTAATTACTCTGTGTACGTATCAATCCTACCTTTATCCTTATGAGTATTCAACTTGCACGCGTATGATCTGCCACTATCACTGTCATAGACTTTAATTGAATTCTATGGCTCTAGAAAACATTTCCTTATAACAGCAGCTGGAAATTGCTGCACAAGGACACAAAAAAAATGGTGTTTACTCAACCATTTTACAAACAACATTTATATCATCCTAATTATCTAATATGTAACTTACAAAAACGTTTGTTCTAATAACCCTTGCGTCCTTGACCCGTCGAGTCCATTTGCACACATTTTGGGCAAGAGATTAGCGACTTGGGAATCTAGTCCCAACCTCTCCTCATCACTATAATTTCATAAGATGCAACATAATCAAAATTAGTTAACAACCATCAATTTCAATGTTTATATCTCTCTGATATAGTGTATATATTAGAATAACACAACTAATAAATAATACTTCAACTATATATTTCGATATGTCGTAATAATAGTGATTAAAATAGTTTACCTTGAGGTGTCGGATGATATTGATATGTGAGAATGAACAAGGCTTACAGTCCTTTTCCCTTTGTCTGGGTATGCAACAAAACATTTAGTATCCTCCTTAGGAGGTTTGTTGGCTCCAACTTCATCATTACTTCCCTCATCACCCGATCTGAGCACATGAAGACAAAAATCTTCATAAGAAAACGTTTTTCTTATCCTATTTATGTGTATCTCTCGCTCTTCCTCATGTTCCACATAATAATCGTACAACTGTTTACGTTTATGCTCCTCAAAATGTTGCTACTTGTGGGTCCTAGATCTGCATAAAATATCAACATGCAACACACATTATTTATATACCATGCATGCCGGTAAAAAAATATTGTGCTTCTCTGTACCTCTACCATTAACTAACATCTTAAACAAATCATTAAGAATCAATAAGAATCGTTAAGATGCTAAAATTATAAAATAAAAACAATTTCGTATCAATTCGTGTGCTTACCTGGAAACACAACGTTCTTGGTCTCCCGAAGACATCTTCACTTCCAAAAGAAATATGTGTTGTTGAGGTGCGGGATATCTTTGAAAGAAGAAGCTGAAGATGTTCTTTTTTACTTCTTTGCTTCCTTGGAAACTTGTTACGTTTCAAATGTCAAATCCTTTGCTATTTCTTTTTTAATGTGTGACTGTTTGCTTCTAAATGTGTCTAAATGAGTTGGTCTTTAAACATATGTTGTAACTTCAACATGTGTTCTATTGTTTTTAGATATTTTGTTCTTTGTTTAATAAACTAAATATCTGGTTATTTTTTTGGTATTATCTATTTAAAAACTAAATGATTTTTCTAGATAACTTACATAAATTTTTACAAATTCCATTCCTTTTAAATTACCATCATAACTTAGAAATTAAAAATATGTTTTATAGTTGCATATATTAAATTTTTTCTTAAAAAAATAATATATTAAATCTTTAAGTAATACAAACATATCTTAAAGTTATATAAACAATAAATACTTTATTATTTGAATTTTTTTTATGTATACTACTAATAACAAAGACATATTATAATAGATTATAATATTACTATAACTTTATTTGTAAATTATAAATAATTTTAAAATAATTTTTTTACTTTAAGAAATTTCAACCGGTGTTTTGTACGGGTATACATACTAATATTATACTAATTATTGTGAACAACAAACTTTTAGATAAATTGAATATTTCTAGGTGTTAGATTTTATAGTTGAAATTTATTTGTATTTTTTAATATACATGAGTTTTATATTTAATTTAAGTTCTTTGTACTGTAAAGTAGTTTTGAACTTGTGAGAAAATTTAGAATTGATAAAATCATTAAAAATTGTTCTATTGACGAAATATGTAAGTTTTTTAGTAGAGTGATGTTAAGTTAACATTTTACGTTTCTTTTTAAATTGAAGAATTGAGACAATATTTTTTCAAAATAAATAATTCATTAAGGGTTAAATATGTTTTTGGTTTTGATAAATATCCTAAATTTTATTTTTTATCCCTATTAAAAAAATGACATATTTTGATCCTTACAAAATTCTAATTCATGCAATTTTAGTCCTTGTTATTTTCTAAAAAATTTAAAACTGTTTAATTACCTTTAAAACTGTAATTTCTTATTTTCAAAAATATCATGTCTCTTGAATATTTTATAAATAAAATATAAAAAAAAAACATTTAAAACAGAATTTGGTCTTTGTGAATATATATATATATATATATATATATATATATATATATATATATATATATATATATATATATATATATATATATATATATATATATATATTATGTTTAATTTTTTCCCTTTAATTTTTATTTTTTTGCAAATATATCCATCAACAAAACAAAACGGAGTCAAACAATAGGTACACTAAAAATAACATTGAAGTGTTTCCCTTGAGTTATTAGAAATTCGCTACCTTGAAGACAACAGCATTGAAGTGGAATTGTTTATTATGATGAGACTTGAATTTTTAGTAAATTTATCTGGAAACTTAGACAGTTACTTGTATTTAACTTTATTAGTTAAATACTCTAAAAAAATTGTTATTTTTATTCACAATAGTTCCCGTGAGAGGAAATTTTTGGGACAGCACAGTGTTAGCATTTTCTCTCACTTCATTAATTCATATATGCACGAAAATCCATCTATTAGTGAGTAATGAAGAAAAATATAAAGCATCTTCCTTTTTCAATAAGAATGTCCAGATTCATCAAATTCAAACAAAATTCCACCACCCAAGTTATGTTATTTTCATTTTGCCACCTCAATTTTGTACATTTTTACACACGTCCATATGCATGGTACAACATGGCCAAATGTTGGTGCATGTTAACTATATAATTTTGTTTTCTATATTTATAAATACCCTCTCATCTCACCTTTTCATTCATCTACAACGAGAAAAGTGAGGCATTAGTTCAAATCAACATGGCTGCTACTACAATGAAAGTTTCATTTCCAGTTTTGATGTTGCTGGGAATTGTTTTCCTAGCTTCAGAGTGTGTCTCTTCTAGATCTGATCCAGAGAATCCATTTATCTTTCAGTCTAATAGTTTTCAAACTCTTTTTGAAAATGATAATGGTCACATCCGTCTTCTCCAAAAATTTGACGAACGTTCTAAAATATTAGAAAATCTTCAAAACTATCGCCTTTTGGAATATAAGTCCAAACCACGCACCATATTTCTTCCACAACAAACCGATGCCGATTTCATCCTTGTTGTCCTAAGTGGTAATTTATTATTTATTAAGCTAAATATTTAAAACTAATCACACATAAATTATTTGAAAAAGAACAGTATTTATTACTTTACATGTTTATTTTGTAAGGATAAGTTAAATTAAATTTTAAAATATTATGTTAATTGTAATTTTCAGGAAAAGCTATACTCACAGTATTGAAACCCAACGATAGAAACTCTTTCAACCTTGAACGTGGAGATACGATAAAACTTCCTGCTGGCACCATTGTTTATTTGGTTAACAGAGATGACAACGAGGATCTTAGAGTATTAGATCTTGCCCTTCCCGTAAATCGACCTGGACAACTTCAGGTAATATGGTCTGAAGTTGTTTAAAACAAATTTAGGGGCCTCTTCCATAAAATCACAACAACAATTACAATTGTATTTATTCATATTTTAATGTAAACTTTTCTAATGATCTTATCATTGTTTTTTTGTCCTTTTCAACAGTCTTTCTTATTGTCTGGAAGTCAAAACCAACAGTCCATCTTATCTGGATTCAGCAAAAATATTCTTGAGGCTTCCTTCAATGTAAGCACAAAACACATAATTTCCTCATTTTATTTGTATTAGTTTGGTTTGCTATATGTTAATATTCACTTTGCCATTGTATATATTTTTAAAAAATATAGACGGGTTATGAAGAGATAGAGAAGGTTCTTTTAGAAGAGCATGATAAAGAGACACAACACAGAAGAAGCCTTAGGGATAAGAGGGAGCATAGTCAAGAAGAAGATGTAATAGTCAAATTATCAACGGGACAAATTGAGGAATTGAGTAAAAATGCAAAGTCTAGTTCTAAAAAGAGTGTATCCTCTGAATCTGAACCATTCAACTTGAGAAGTCGCAGCCCTATCTATTCCAACAAGTTTGGCAGATTCTTTGAAATTACCCCAGAGAAAAATCCACAACTTCAAGACTTAAATGTATTTGTCAGTTCTGTGGAGATTAAGGAGGTATGATGAAATTATTTTATAATATAGACAACTAACTTAATTACACAACGATATTTCACTTGATCAAATTACAATTTTTCTAAATGATTAGAATTTTTTCCATTGAAGTTATAATGTCAATTTTTTTATTAAGTTGACATCTCATAGACAACAAGTTTTATATACTCAATAACATGTTTTAATTATATAATATATAGCTAAAATATTTATTTAATTATTCTTTCAAATTAAATTTTAGGGATCTCTATTGTTGCCACACTATAATTCAAGGGCCATAGTAATAGTAGCGGTTAACGATGGAAATGGAGATTTTGAACTTGTGGGTCAAAGAAACGAGAACCAACAAGGGCAGAGAAAAGAAGATGATGAGGAAGAGGAACAAGGAGAAGAAGAGATAAATAAACAAGTGAAAAATTATAAAGCTAAGTTGTCTCGCGGAGATGTTTTTGTAATTCCTGCAGGTTATCCAGTTGCCATAAAAGCTTCCTCTAATCTCAATTTACTTGGATTTGGTATTAACGCTAAGAACAACCAAAGGAACTTTCTTGCAGGTATATTATATATCACTCGGTCTCTTTCTTTATATATTCATTTTTAGAGTTTATTTTAAAAGTCTAGTTCTATTTAAATCAAGTAGAAAAAATGATTAATATAGGCTTATTTTTTGGGTGATTGAAAATTTGAAGGCGAGGAGGATAATGTGGTTATCCAGATACATCAACCAGTGAAAGAGCTTGTATTCCCTGGATCAGCTCAAGAGGTTGATAGGCTACTAGAGAATCAGAAACAATCTCACTTTGCAAATGCTCAACCTCAACACAAGGAGAGAGGAAGCCATGAAACAAGAGATCCTCTATATTCAATTTTGGATGCTTTTTAATAAGAGCAAATATTATGCATGTATGCTATCAAGAGATATAGCTCATAGTGAGCAAAGAATAAAACAGTGTTCTCTTGTAACTAAAATTATATTTTCACTTTTCTATTATGAATAAATAAATCATATTTTGGTGCTCCTCTTAGCTACTATGTTTTTTCTTAATAATACTCTTTTGTACTACGATGAGTATGCTCAATCGTTTTCCTTAAATTTAGTATGTATAATATCATCAACCATAAATAGTTCATTATACCTTTCAACTATTATTTTGTTATAATTTAATAATGCAATTAAAAGTGCACATGTATTTGCAACTATGAGTTTTTTTCATGGGAAATCTAGTAAATCATGAAGAAAAATCATAGAAGATGATAAAAAAAAACATTTAAAAATCATAGATCTTGCAAAAAAAAAGTCATACTAGGAGCAAATCACAAATTTTATAACGGTATGGGCCTAAAATTCTCAACCAAAATATATAACGAATCATTTATTTAAAAAGTCAAAAGTATAAAACACTTATAACATTTAAATTAATGTAAAAATTTGATATCTTATATCCATCTCCCATGAAATACATGTCCAATAAATACATCTTCATCTAAAATGTGTCGAGATCCATATTTACTTTTTTTAAAGAGACTTTAGAGATTTATGAAAAATCGATGGATTTTTTAAAGCCCTAAGAATGTTATTATTTTTTCTTTTACTGATTTATGTGTAAAGGTTAGTTTTCTTAGTTGAGTGAAAGAGCAGAAAAATAAATATGAAGTAAACGTAAATGAACACATGGTCCCCATTTTCAACTATGGGTACTCCCATTCCCCCACACTCTGAGATATTTCAATATGTTAGAATTGTTACAGTCAAACGACTAGACTCTTTTAACTTTCTAACACAATCACCAAGGTATCCCACCTAGTGATATTACAAATACGAAGTTAAAGAACAATAATTTCTCTCTAAGAATCTAGTTACCACTACAAGAAATTCATTTTTTATCTCCAAATTATTAGCGTCGGCCCCGATTTCGACGCTAATAGCATTGCTAATACGTCCCACATCGTCGTCCCTAATTGGCTAAATTATTTGTTTTATTTTTTTATTAGGCCATTATATATAGCGTCGACTTTGACCGACGCTAACGCAGGTGCAAAAAATTTCAATTCCCTCCACCAATTTTGTTTGCCTCCCACTACAAAATAACTTGTGTTTTGCCACGTGAAAGCCACGTCGCTAACACCCAAATCACGCCACTATTCAAATTTTGCCACCTTAAGAAACACGTCGCTATATAGCGCGTGACAATCTTGTTGCGGCGTGAAAAGCATGTCACAAAGTTGCCACGTGAAATTCACGCCGCAACAGACTATATAGGATGAAAGTGTGCAGAGCAGAGCAGGCAGTTCACATTTATATTTACGTTTGCTGTTGCGGCGTGTTTTTCACGTCACTAATTAGTGACATGAAAAACACGCCGCAACTTGTTTTTAAAAAAAAAAAAAAATTTTGTGTTTTAAATATATTTATTTTGTTTTAATAATTAATATTATTTTTTGTTTTATTAAATTTATAAATTAAATATTATAATTTATTTATTAAATACAATATTAAAAATCAAATTATCAAAAACAAAACTAAATATATCTAAATGTATAAATAAATATACTTAATATTATAAATTTAATAAACTCAAATTTAAATTTATAATATTTTTAAATATACAATATGATTATAAATTTATATTACACAAATAAAAAACTAAAGACAAAATAAAAATAAAACTAAGCAGAATCATTAGAGTCGTCGGAAAAGTCAGGAAGAAAGTCATCATTATTTTGGTGGTTATTATTTTGGCCACCACTGTTGGGATTTCTACCAAATGCTTGCATAAATTGTCGCATTTGCTCCTCCATATCAGTCTGCCTCTTCGCCATTGCCTCAATTTGTCTATTATGTTCACCCCTCATTGCCTCCATTTGGGCATCCATTTGGGCCTTCAATGCCGCCTCACGATCTTCGGACTCGCGTCTAGCCAATTGTCTTACCAGTTCTAACTGATCTGGTGTCAAATTTGTTTGACGTGACCCTCCTTCACCGTCTGCAGTTCTCTGATACAGATTTCTATCCCCACTCCTCAAGGTGCCCGCCAAATTTCCACCACCAAAAAAACACCCGTTAGGCCCCTTTCCCCCAACAACTTGACTCAAAATATAGAAATCCACATCTGGATGAACCGGTTTTTCTGGAGGAGGCGTATACTGAGGATTATGGGTCAGAAATTCTACAAGCAACGCCTGATAATCCTCCTACACATACAATAAAAAAATCAAGTTAAATTTATAAGTAACATTAATGAAATTAAATGAAATAAAAAAATAATAAAAAACAAATAGCCACGTGATTGTAACGCCACAACTTATCAGTTGCCACTCAATTTTCACGCCACAATATGTCACTTGCTACATGAAAATCACGTCACAAAATTGCTTTAAAAAATATAAACATAAATTTACTTACCAGGGCTTTTTTTGTGCGCTCGTCAATAAATCCTCCCGATTTCTTTGTCCGAGTTTCCTTAACCAGTTCAGTCATCAATGGTTGTCTCCCCAAACGCTTAGCCTAAATAAAAAAATTAACTTAAATTAATAATATGTTATAAATCCAAATATGACCTTAAAAAGTGGTAATAATTACCATGCGTCGAGCATGCTCAGCAGTACTAATACTTCCAACAGCATTAAGGAAACCCCCTTTTTCCGATGCCCTCATCTTCTTTGCAGTTTCAGATTTAGCCTTAAATTCATCTGATTCCCAATACTTAAGAAGTTGTTCAAAAACTTCTTTGCCTATCCATTTGGGACGAATGCCCAAAAGGTGCCAATTCTGTCTAACACGTCGTAGCATGTCAGATAGTCGTCTTGAACTCCTGCCAAAATAATTTTTTTTTACTTTGTTATGGTTCAGGGGATCCCAAACACATTTCTCCTGCAATGTTGTATGACATTAAAATAAATAGTTAGATAAATTATAACAATAATGAAAAGGTCATTTAAATAAAAATAACTTAAGAAATAAATTAATTATACCTGAAATTGCTTGAACCATTCTTCTTTATCGGAAACTTCTCTAAAACTCTTCAAAAATTTTGTATAATTCTGCTGAATTATATAATTGATAACCTTAGCAGCAGTCCGACTCGGCCTGAAACTAAAACAACAATAATTGAATTAGCATAATTAATTATATAAAGTTATATTAAAAATGGAAACGTGTACTTATAAATAAAAATCAATAAATAAGAAACTTACGAGTTCCCTTCAGGCCATATCCAAAATCTCCCATCAATGGTATGAATCTCACTCGAATCATCATCCCCTCAAAGATCTCTCCCATCTATCTGATCATCATCCACACCAAGATCGTCATCATCCGACTCTGTGTGGGATGTAGGGGTGCGACCAGTCTATGTGGGTCGTGAAGAGGTGGATCCTACAGGTTGCTGGACGGATGGGGGCATCTGTGTAGGAAGTGGGGTGCTGGATCCTCCAGGCTGCTGCACGAATGAGGGCATCTGTGTGGGAAATGGAAAATTGTGCTGGAAGGATGAGGGCACCTGTGTTTGCTGGAAGGATGAGGGCACCTGTGTCTGCTAGAAGGATGAGGGCACCTGTGTCTGCTGGAATGGTAAACCAGGTGGGGCCCCAGATGGACTAATAAAACATGTACTCCCAGATGGGAACTGAAGAGGACTCTGAGATGATAGTAATGGAGTAAATGGCATAGTACTGTCCATGGACATATGATGAACCTGACTCTGCGGGGGAGGACACGTGGCTGAGTGAGGTGACTGACATACTACTACCCTTGGACGCCTGGGCTTCCTACCATTATCACTAGGACCTTTACCCTTATTATCTTTGGGTGGCATTTTTACCTAATTAAAGAAAATACAAGTTAACATATACATATTCTCATGAATACATATTCATTAAATCATTCAATAAATGGTTCGTTGAGTAAAATTACAAGACACAATTCTCATGAATACATATTCATTAAATCATTCAATAAATGGTTCGTTAAGTGAAATTACAAGACACAATTCTCATGAATATAGGTTCACTATTCTAAATCGTCATGCTCGTCATCCATTTCATCATCGTCATCTGATGTGATACTATCCTCAGATCCAGAATCTTCATGATCTTCATCCTCATCAACTTGATTCCCCTCAACCATTGTATCAGACAAACTTGTAGTGTGTTCATCTGGAATCACATCATTAACTTCAACTTCATCAACTTGGTAAGCAACATCCTCCACTAGATCGTCAGTTTCAATATGACCCAATGGTTTTGTTTTTATTAAAACACAACACCGTCGTTTACGTGGCACAAATTAAGGATAAGGAACATAATAAACTTGCCTAACAATATTTGACATTATGAAAGGGTCGTACTCTTTGTACCTCTGGTCCATTTGAATCTCAACAGTACCATATGTCTTATCTATTTTTGTGCCTCTAGTTGGATCATACCATTCACAATAAAACAAGACAACTTTATTTTCCGAGTCCAAGTAATTGTATACTAACTCGTAGATATGTTTAACAAAACCATAGAAGTCATCTTCACCACCATCTGTAACTCCTTTCACAAATACGCCACTGTTTATGGTTTTTTTCCCTTCAGTCCATTCATGAGTGTGAAATTTATATCCGTTCACAAAGTATGTGTGCCATTTGTTTGCACTTTGACGAGGGCCATTCGACAAGTTTCTCAAATGGAGTATTTCTGGAGTCGGTGCAACAACCCTATACAATTTCTCCTTGAACCATGTTGGAAATTGGGCATGAATGACACCAGATGTTGATTGTACACCGGTACTATCAAAATAGGCGTTGTTAAATTCCCTAAAAAGAAACACACTATAATTTTCAAGGTAATCAATTTTATATTCACACTGTAAAGAAAATTAAGAAGTTGGATTATACTTAC